TAAAGGATGCTCATGTCTTTATTTGCCTTAATTTTTGTTATCTTAAAGTATAGACTCTGTGTGATCACAGAACACTGTCCAGAGTCACAGAACACCAACAGATGAAAATATATTTGGTTCCACTTTAACACATCTCTCCTTTAAAAGAGGTGACTTTTTCCCATATATTGTACTACAGTGGAACCTGATAGTCAAGATTCTTTCCTTCTGGGCAAGCTGAAACTCTTATTTATGTAAAATTTAATCAGATGTGTGTAGGAAAGGAAGACCCTGAGCTGGTTAGCTCAGAAGAAATGAGTTATGTTGACTTGCACCAGGGCATTTTTCATTTTGTATAGAGCAACGAGCTGCACAAATGCAGCCAGTGAAATCTCTGTTCCCACGTTCTTCACATTCATTTTGGTGCCCAAGTCACAGGAGTAAGAACTGAATAAGCATTACCAAAGGGAGACACAGAAATCATAGGACCAACACTCTCTCTCTCTCTGCTATCTGTCTGCCAGTCCCAAACGTTCCAGTCCCTGTGGGTTTGTGTGGATGAACTGATTAGTTCTGGGCTGTTCTCTGTCTTGGGGGATTTCAGCAGCCTTTGGAAGGTGTCACAAATGGGTGAGATCATGGACACCTGCAGGCCAGGAGAAGCACATCCCAGTCCTGTCAGACAGCATGCAGGCTTTGAATATTCCTTAGCAATAGTGGCTCTATTCCCTGCTGTGATACCCAGTTTCCATTTGCTACCTTTAATTAATAATTGAAGGTATTGACTCCCATTGTTTCCGACTGCTGTTCAGGATCCTCGATAAATAGATTGATATCCTGGATTAACACAGCACAGCCTGAACATTCCCACACCCTTGACAGGTCTTAGGTACTGACATAAAATCTCCCTTCCCATTTCTGAAACTCCTGAGACAGAACATGGTTTCTCTCCGACACTGAAATGCTACCAAAGGATGAGAGCAGCACATGAAATATTCACAGGGCAAACAGACACGGAGCCAAAGCAGATTAGAGCAGAACTCCAGGGCTGCCCAGACCCCAGGAAGGCTTCACAGTTTGCACTGACACCGAGATCTTATTGCATTTCTCATCCCAAGTGCCAACAAGGTGCCATGTTGGAGATCAACATTACCCAAGGAGGATCAAAGCAGCAGTGGGTTTAAAATCTCCACACCAAAGATACAGACTCAGCAAAAGCTTCGCACAAACTCTGTGTTTTTGACAGACTGGCCAGAGGACAACAAAAGGCAGTGGTCAGGTTCATGCCACTTTTATGTCTCAAACATGGGGGGATCAATAAAAACATAAAGGAAAAATGTGCAAAATGTTAAGAGCCAAAATGCCAGAAGCCAATGTAGCATGAGGTCCACAGGAAGACATTAACCCTAATAAATAATTAATCATTATTTATTGCACAAATTTGTTCAAGAAAAGAAAGTTTGTGTCAGGGCAGTATTTTCCTCACAGGCAAAAAGATTTCCCATTTGGTGTTTGGAGCCTTAAAATTAATGCATCCTTTTGTTGAACTAAACCAACCACTCATGGTGACTTTGGGGTCTCAGCTCAGCCAGCAACACCCAGTTCCAGCTGCATCCCACACTCCAGTGACCAGTTGTGGATGTAACCCCAGAGGTGCACATCCATCTGAACATCACCTTGTCACTGCACAAACCCTGCAGTACTCACCATCTTCAGGACTTAAATATTAAATACCACAAGAGGTTAAAGCCTCATTAGCAGTAAATATTCCTCTCTTGCAATTCAAGCCATTTCTTTATCATCTAAATAGTCATAACAAGGGTATGTACCCCAAGTAGCAAGATCATTTTTAATTTCTCCTTCTAACTTCCCAAATTCCATCAATTTTTTTTTTTTTTTTTTAATTGCAACTGAAACAACCAAACTTAATGATTCTAACTGAAGCTGCAGGTGTCAGGGCAGAGAGAAATAAGAATATCCATGAGTATTTCAGGAACATTTACAAGTGATTTATTTTCATTAAAAGCCACAACAACAGAGCAAATCAGGTTTGTTTGGCTAAACAGAAAAGCTACCAAAGGAAAGTTACATCACTGAAGGATGGAACTGGCTTGTTTGGGACTGAAAATGAATACTGGAACACACTGAAAACAAACCAGAAGACTCAAAGAAGAAGGCAAAGATACATCCGAACACCTACCATTGCCTGTGTGACTCCACTTGAAGGCAGGACTCTGTTGCCAGTCTCAGCTCCCACCATCAATCCTGAATTTTAGTTTCCCGTGTCATGACCCGGCTGCCACAGGAAACTAAAGAATCCTTCATTCAGAGTTTAGTGAAGAATTCTGCATGCAGATTGGCCAAACAGCAATAAGCTAAACATTCAACAAATAAAAAAACTTTTTTTTTTTGTCCCTAACCTGAAAAAAAATCATTTAAATTTATTGTGTATTCTCAGTGTTCATGACAAAAGAGCTGGAGGATACATCTGGGTATCAGCCTAGGAGCTGTGGAACTCTAAATGCCACTTCTACTGCACTCAGCAAAATTCTTATGTGAACTGAAAACAGGTGAGGGAGCATGAAAAGTCTGACCCATGAAAATTCCCTGTCGCTGACCTGTCCTCCTAAGGACCAAGCAGTGCTTTTTCTGCCACTCTCCCTGTCACAGAGACAACTGCAGTCTCTCCTGCTCCAGAGCCAAATGTGCTTCTGCTCCTACCTAGTGAGAGGAGGTCACCAAATATACCATCTGCAATTACATCTTCTTCTGCTAGCTGCAAAATGTTTCTATTCAAGAGTTGCAATTGTCTTCTCTTCGGAATAAAATGTGAGGTATTTTAGGAAGCTCTTAGAGGAGCTGAGTGGATTGAAGCATTGTTGTGCTAATTAAAGCTTCTTTGATTTTCCAATGCTTAATCTAACTCTCCGAAGTGAGCATTTTTATAGCAAGGCCAGCCATGGGAGAGAATGCAACTCCAAAAGTACCCAGCAGAAGCCTTGAGCACTGAATGTTTCTCATCTTCTTTCCTCCTGCAGACTGAGAAAGAGCACAGAACTGTGGTGTTTCTGCAGCCTTCTGAGGGGAAAAGACACAGCCCTGGTTACTCTGTGGGCTCTGGGTTGCTTCAAGAGCCTGGATGTGGCCGTGGCAGGCCAGAGCAGCTGCTCTTGGGGACATCCCGAGTCAGATTTCTGATCTGCTCCCACATATATTCACACCTGAGATCCACAGGATTCCATAAAACAATCATTTTGTAGCCATTAGCGCACTAAAACTGACCAACTCCCAAGATTACTTGCTAGATAAATCAAATTTACGTTGAAATCAACAATATTACATAGACAAGGTAACAGGAAAATGGCACCTTGTTACTGAAAGAGCTCAGTCCCTCTCTCTATTGAAAATCTGCTGAATTATTGCTCCTCTTAGAACACACTTGCCAGAGCAGCTGAAGAAGAAAGGAGCTTATTCCACGGATCCTCATGTCTGTTACCTAAGCTATAACTGCAGAGACCCATTTTTGTCCCCTCAGTGTAGGATGCTTTAGAGACAACCTATATAGGAGGTATCTCTGTGTAACCAAAGGAAGGACTTAACATACAAGTTTCTTGTAAATTATGAAATATAAAACGCAACATAGGAGGATTTGCATTTTGGGGTAAAAAATCCCACGCATTTATTTTTGAGATTAAGTAAGGAATTAACACAGAGATTCAACTAACCCAGTACACAGTGTTGGTTGGTTGTTTTGTTTGTTTTTTGTTTTGGTGGTTTTTTGGGGTTTTATTATGGACTGATTTTAGAGGGCAAAATCATGTCCTAGGACCTGGTTCTGAATGCACAGAGGTTCAACAGGAAACAACAGAAGCATTTCTAAGAGCAAATGGGAGAAGATCACTGTTGCAGAAATGACAAACAAGCTTTTTTTTGTTTGGGTTGGGTTTTTCTAAACACAAAAAAGAGAAAAGAAAGAAGCAACGAGACTTTAGACACACCCAGAGCCAGCAAAACTCAATGACAGCCATCACCCCCTTGACCAGCACAAAGCAGCCAACAACAAACACACAGCTTGGGCCAGACCCGTTTAAGATCACTGCAAATCCTTCCTGACAACCCAACAAAGCAATTTCAGACAGTTTGCAAGTGATATTCAACCAACTGACTCGAAGCTATCGATGAACGAGGGTTTCATTGACAAAAGCTTTTCTCGACCAAGAAGGCAAAACAAGCCAGGCAATAAAATCACAGGACAGTCCACACAAAATGTTCTGCCTCATGTAAGGCCAGGATGTTTTTACCTCATTTCATCAATGTGTGATCAGCGCTTTGTGTGCAGCCCGCTGTTGGAAACTGCCCCTATCTCCTGAAAAACCTCTACGTCTCTACACGGACTCCCAACACACAACAGTTTTGGCACAAAATAACCAGCATTTCTGTCATTGCCTCCTTTGTGAGCAACACAACACTGGGACACAGCACATGTGGCTCTCCCGGAGCGCTCCGCATGAAACGTGCCTTGATAAAGCAATTTTCCACAGAAAACAACATCAACTCACTTGGATTTGCTGACATCCAACCCAACCCAAAGCCCATGCTCGGTCACACAGTGGTTTGAAACCTGGTTACGATCTGCACTCAGGTGATAATGTTAATTAATACCCAAAAACCTTCAGAGGGTGCAGTCACTGCTCATGGCCAGTAGGTTTAACCTGATTTGGAGCTTTGATGGGACTGAGTGATGTCTCAGAAGTGAGGGCAGCACAGTTTGGCCCCAGAACATTAATCAGGGCTAGGTCCAAAGCCTGCAGAAGCCAAACCTTTGGGTTAATTGCCCTGTAAAGCTTGAGTTGACAATTACAAGCCTCTCAAAGCCCACGGCCACATTTCCCACTCACTACATTGTCATTTCTTAGTAGGAAAACCATCAATAAAGCAACCATTCATTTCAGACAGAACTGGCCAATAGTGACAGAAGAGAAACCAGACTCCAGAAAATAACCAGACAGAATAAACCTGGGTAAGATCCTTAAAAATTATCTTTAATTGATGCCAAATATGAACAGATGAACGAGTACAGAAGCAGGTAAAACTGCATAGATGAAAAACTATACATTTCAAATAGTTCAAGAACTCATAACATCAGATGTTCTAAAAATGGTAGGTCAAACAATTTCACTATTTGGAAGTAAAATGAGCTGTAATGTGACAATGAAGTACATACTTGACCCAAAGTATAAGCGATTGGTAAATGGTGGAAATAAGTACAGCTGTGTCAGCTTAAATGGTTTGTTGCCCTGATGGTGCACTTTCATATGGAGACTATTCAGTTTATATATTTCACATCGGCAATATTTGATCTTTAAAGTCAGAGGTATGTCTGAGAGGCCATTTACAGTTCTATTGACAGCTGTTATTTATTCATTTCAAACTGACATACTGCAAAAAACCCAATGTTTTACATGTAAAGGAAAGGAAAAAAAATATTTCATCATAGCAGGTAATAGGTAAGGGTTTGCTGAATTTAGTCATAAAAATATCATTTTTACTTTTGTACAAAAGTAAAATATACATTTGATCCCAATTACATTATAGAAATATCACTGAAACAATAACATGGATCAAAGACTGATGCACCTAAAGGAACTGAATGCAGCGTCATCTTTTTATTATAGAAACTAGAAATGGAAGATGATTTTTTTAATATATAACTTGTAGTGACATTTGCTAGAGCCTGTGAACAGGTGAAATATACAGAATTACACAGATATTAACAGAAACCTTGAGACAAATTTCAGTTAAGACCTCAGTTTCATTTTATTTCCTTTGAAAATATCAAAGCATGCTATGCCTTGACAGCATAAATGGTTGACCTCACCAGTGGCAAGTTCACCTGTACTGAGTGAAACTGTAGAACACCCTGAAGTTTATTTTTTTTTATTATTTTTTTTTTTTAGATACAAATACTGACACCTTTAAGAATACTTGATAAGCATTTCAGGAAAAAGAAATTCCCTACACCTGATTAAGTAAAGCCAGAACAACAGAAAACAGAAAAAAGAAACTCAGCCTGAATTAAGTCCAACCAAAACTGAAGTGTAGGTCCCTGGTTAAAGCATCTCAGAAAAGGAGCCTGTTCCAGACTTGCAGGAGGCAGGTCTGGGACAAGCCTGCCCTGCTGTGCAATTGCAAGGACAGCTTTCCAGTTCTCTGTGGCTTCCCAGGCTAAATCACACCTTGGAGCTGACTCTGCATCCCTGGGAGTCTGAAATTAATCTGAGGATCACTGGCATCAGGCTGCTGGAAGCCTACAGGATCAGACCATTCCTGGAAAAGCTGCAGTACCTCCCTCTTCTTCAGGTTAGGGGAAAAGATTAATCCAGAATGGCACCCCTCAAGCAATAGTTGTCAAGGTAGTATTTGGAAAGGAATACATTGTCTCTGTGTATTGCAGAAGATTTTGTTCTAAAATACAACTTTCCACCTTTTTTCTAATAAATTTCAGATGTTCCTGACCTAGTGTTGGTTGTGTTTTGTTTAATAAATGCACATATAAGAAACTGCACTGTTCAAGTGTGGACTGTGGAAAAGCGAAACTCGCCCTCAGCTCCTTAAATCAGCAGGTTTTGAGGTTAGACTTGAGCTGCAGCTCTCTCACAGTAGAAACTAACTTCCTGTCCTTCTGCCTAATGAAAACAATTGTCCCTTGGTATAGAAAAAACCCTGTCAATACAAGTTGCCAGTTTGGGCAGCTGCAGCCTGCAAGGAATGACACACAGCTGGTTTGCTAAGAAGGGTCTGATCTCTGAAATTTCTGCCTGGGCAAAAACCACTGCTGCAAACAAGAGGACTTTGGTTGAATTTTGTCCTGTCCCCAGTGCTTGGTTCTGTCTCACATGTGCTTGCCCATGTGACTATCAGCACATCAGGCCAGCAGCACCTGTGCAGTTTTGTGAAGTGGAAATTAATTTCCTTGAGCTGCAATGGTTTTCGGCTTCCCCAAAGGCAGCAGGGTGGATTATCCTCACAAAAGTGTAAACCAGGAACAAAGGGAGGGACTCACCAGAACTGACACCAGGATCAAGTATTGGTTTTCCCCTCAGTAAGCCAGGCTGTGAATCTGCAGCACTCATGCACCAAGAGTTTTGGTGCACGTGGGCACCCCCTGCACAATGGGGTCACTTCCAGTCCTCTAATGATTACTACAGGCTTCTCTTCTGAATGGGCTTGTGAGGCAGATGAGGTAAACTGCATTAAGCCCCATTGTGTTCGGCATTAAAGCAGCCTTAATTCAATTCAGGTTACTTCCCTTCCAAAAAGAATGACTCCAAATCAGATTAAGGTTGCTTTAATGCTGCAACAGAATGTCCATGCTGGGCTTTAAGGCAGTTTAACAAATCTACTTTAAATGCACACCTTTCATTAATTTGGATTAGCTTTCTTGAAGTCCTCGGTGGAGATGAGGCTTAGGACACCCCATGCAGGGAACCTGCAGGGGTTTGCTAGGATGCTGTGAACTCACAGCCTGGCTAACTGCACCCCAATTTCCTCAAGAAGGTGACTAAATCCAGTTCATGGCCAGTGCTGGAGCTGCCACACAAAGGGTTTGAGCTTTCTGCAGTCTTGCAGCGAGCCCTCGGTTGTGTGGAGGAACAGGGCAGAGAGTCCTTAATTTTCACTCTTACCCTTGCTGCTCTGCCTCTCCCTAGTGCTCTGGAGCTAAGTATGGCAGAACCAGATGGAGAATTCTGGCAAGGATACCACTCTATGGGATTCCTGCCTCTGCACTGCAGTGCACTGCTGCCTTGCCCTTGCCAGGTAAATTCCCTCACCCCTTTCCCTGAATGGATGTAGGAAAAGCTGCACAGAACCAGGCAAGAAGCACAGAGAGGCACGGAGCAGTGGGGGTTGGTGGTGAGGGCGTGGGGAATGGCTCCTTCTGCTAGAAAGCTTTCTTCCCCTCACCAAACTAAAAACTGTCATATCCACTGGGTTCCCTGTCCAGCATAACCAGGGGGTCCCTACCAAAGGAATTCTCTTGACTCTTTCAGAGAAGCACTACACTGGCCATCAGCTCATTTCCAGTCCTCTTCCAGTTACACAGAAAACCCCTTAGAGTCCACATGAGGCAAAAGGAAACATAAGGGCCAAAAGAAAAAAAATATATATATAAAAAGAAAAGAAAGAAATAAAGAAATAAAAAAGGATGCTTGCTGATAAGAACAGGCAGTTTGTTAAGTGCACCTTCAGGCCCACAAAGACATTTCAGCACTCCTGTGTAAAGGGACTAAGAACCTTGCTTTTGTTGTTTATTTTTTTTTGTGTGTGTGTCAAACTTGTCAAAAACACATGCCTATGCTACATGAGGTTAATTCCTGTACTCCATATGGGTTGAGATCCTTTGCAATGAGCTATAAATGGACAAAGCAACATTCAGGCTCCCCAAACCATGAGTTCTTATGATCCATCCCGGTCTCTTGAGGAATAATTGCTGCATGCAGCACTTTTCTCTGTGCATAAGCAGAATGATCATCACTCTGCACATTAAATTAAGGTGTGCACACCCAACTGGGGCAGAAGGTACCCAAGTGAGGCCTCATCTCCCAAATGCATCCTTCTGACCATCGGTCCCCTAGCACTGAATTGATTATTGCTGTTTAGTGTTTAGAGTTTAGTCAGATGGTGGTTTTACAAGCTGAGTGCAGCATTCATGTCCATTTTGACATCAGAAGTCATATCCTATGATTCAAGAGTTTGGGAAATCAGGACCACTGGAATTTAATGGGGAGAGAGGTGTACAAAGGGCAAGGGCGTGAGCAGGGGACAGGAAAGAAGCTTTACAACATCTACCTAGAGGATGTAATGCCCTGTTTTATCTGATGCTTTGCACTTCTTGCAGGAATTGGAGCTCCCTCAGTTCTTGATCTTTCTCATCGCTACGATTCACAGAAGTCACACAGTGAGAAATAAAGTCAAGTCTTTCTGGAAACCTAACAGGTCAAGCTTGTGCGTAACTGCAGAGTTAGGGTTGGTTGTTAACTCTAAGTGCTTTGATTTTATTTTATATATACATGTGCCTGCATACGTATGTGACACACACAGGAGCAGACATACATATATATATATATATATATTTATACACATATATACATGTATCAGAAAGATAGGGGAGGAAAGGATCTGTACAGTGTGGAAGGAGATGTGTTCAACAGCAGTTGGCCACATGCTAAGTGCAGAATGAAGATCCTCAACTTTATCCATTTGAAAAATTGAGATTAGTGCCTACGTTCATTCAGATCAAAGGTCATCATCTTCCAGGGACTAGCAGTCAAGGCTGGCATGTTGCAGAAGAGACCTTCTCCTAGCATTGCTTCCCTCACCAGGAAACTATGGAAGTACAGTAAGATCAGGGACCAGGAGGAAGAACACGGCTCAAAGGCTGTGGTGGGATCTAAGATCTGAAAAAGGATAGAGCAGACAGGGATGAGAGAGCCCTGCAAAGCCTTTCCCATCCACCTGCTGGGGAGCCTATGGGAAAGAAGAGCACAGGCCTCCTCTGGTTGCCTGACTGGACGATGCTTGGGCTCCTGCTCCTCCTGCACCCTGCCCTGCAGGGACAAGCTGCCAAAGAGCCACCTCAGGGAAAGGATGGGCAGATACAGTGATGGCAGTAATGCCTTTATGATGGCAGTAATGCCTTTAAACCTGGGGAAACCTGAAGCCTCGAATGTACACAACTAGGAGTTATTTGGCAGAAGCCAATGCAGAGCCCTGCAGCATCAGACTGGCTGGGGAAAGAAAGTATTCCACGGGCACTGGGGGTCTCTGCCCACCTCTTCTGCATCACTCTCACTCCCACTTGACCTTTCTATCCCTAAACCTTTCCATGCTGTGCCAGCAGACAGCACAGGACGCTCCTGACACACCAGACTGACTCCTTGTCCCTTTCCTCGGTGTCTCTGATCCACTCAGTTCCTGGAGGCACTTTTCAGCAGATTTGGAGGGTGTAAGATAAAGGCACTGCGCAACTCTCTCAGTCAATCTGCTGGGTGTCTTCAGTGAGTTTTTTTGGGGGGGATACAAAAAAGTCTCAACTGATGACTGCAAAAGAAACCAGCTGCTGCAATTCGGATGCATATAATAGATAAGTTTCATTTACATTCTGAAAATGCACCAAAAAGCATGCATCTGCACCTTTCATCTATAGAGGATACTAGGTTTTTAGGTGTTGCTATATATAACTTGACTTCTTAATTTTCCATATAGCTTTCCCTTTAAGGGATGGGATATGTTCCTTTCTGACAAAGCCTGGACAAAAGCCAACACATTTTCCTGAGCAATGCAGGAAAATAATCAGGTTTCTCTAATCAGTTCATTCAGGCCCTCAGTCTATCAAGCGCATTTTTTTGTTGTTTTTATTGTTATCATTATTGTTGTTATTATCATCATTATTATTATTATTATTATTATCATTGAATTCATGCACTAATTAATTCAAGTTACACTTTAATCAAATAGGCCATAATGCTGAATATTTGAACATGCTTTGATCTCCAAAAGTTATTGTTCCCATATGACTAACATACGCACTTAAATACAGTACTTTAAATTACTAGTCAACGATTTAATAAATTAAGGAGTGCACTTCTGGTGAATGCAAATCAAAAAGAAACAGAAAAGAAACTAAAAAAGAGAGGAGAAAGGACTTATTTTTAGAAGATTCAGTTCAAACGAAATCTTATCCGCTATTGTCTGAGGTAACGTTTCAAGCATGCGATCATAAAATAAATAGTATCAAATTCAAACATGCTTATATTAAACTCCATTGTGCTATCTTGCAACAGAGGGGCTTAAAGTTTTGTATCCAGTTCCAAACGGGGAGGGGGAGAAAAGTGTGTTTCTATCATCTGCATGTGAGAGAACTTAGCAGCATTGCAGATGTTTTGTCTTCAGTTCTGTCTGTTATTTTCCTTTTAGGATATTTCTTCTACGAACAGCAAAAGAGACCAGGCTTAAGTAGGGTTTTTAATAAGGTGCTGTGTGGATCTGTAGGTTGGAAGGATGGAATCTTTCACAGAGGGGGCGGAAGGAAAATTTGCACTCCTTCATAAACCCTGTGGCAAATGCTTGCCGCAGGTTTTGGCTGATATTTTTTTACTATTATTGTCTGATGCAATTTCTTGCAACTGTGTAGTTTTGCAGAATATTTATACTGGAATCCATGCATATGCTTAATAGCTGTAAAAACTGTCTTGCTTTGTTTAAGATAGCTTTATCAAAAAAAAAAAAAAAAAAAAAAAAAAAAAAGAAAAAAAAAAAAAGAAAAAAAGAAAAAAGAGGAGCTAGGAGAGGAAAAGTTTAGGTCTAGCATCATAACGGCTTAAAACTAAACTAGTTCAAATGGTTATCATTTGCCAGATGGAAAATGGTTTTTGAAAATAAACAAAATTTTATCTTTCATGGATCCTGGAAGCTTCTTTATCGCAGAGCAAAGATTTGCAATGCAACAATGCATTTACGAGGTAAATAAAGCATTCAAAGACTATCAGTAAAGCATCTACAAAGTGTGATTGTGTCACTAAAGTCTTCAAGCTGCGAGTGGGGATTTTGTTTTGGGTTTTTCTGTTTGTTTGTTTACACATCAGTCAGCAGCTTGCTTTTATTAACGCAGTTTTGGTTGGCTACAGTGCAGTTGCCAGTTCTGAGATTAGCCTCTCTAAAATTGTCTATGCTATTATTCATATCCTCTTCGATTTCCATGTACTCAGATTTGCTGATTGTGGAGGAGCTGCGGCGACTGAGATCACTGTCAGATGCTAAATTAGGGGAGCTAACGTGAAGTAACTGAGCCTGTTCTTCCCCTTCTGTTTCTCGGTGGTAGAAGTAGTTGAAGTTGGACACGATGACAGGTACAGGCAGGGCAATTGTCAGCACACCAGCGATGGCACACAAGGAGCCTACGATTTTGCCTCCAATTGTCACAGGGTACATGTCACCATAGCCCACAGTGGTCATGGATACCACCGCCCACCAGAAAGCATCAGGGATACTTGTGAAATGAGACTCAGGTTCTTCAGCCTCAGCAAAATATACCGCACTAGAGAACAAAATCACCCCAATGAAGAGGAAGAAGATTAGTAAACCTAGCTCTCTCATACTTGCTTTGAGGGTCTGTCCCAAAATCTGGAGGCCCTTAGAGTGTCGGGAGAGTTTGAAGATTCGAAAGACTCTTACCAGTCTGATGACTCTCAGGATGGCCAAGGAAGTGGCCTGCTCTCCTTTCTGAGTCCCCTCCCGCTCGGCCATCTCGGTGCCCAGGGTGATGAAGTAAGGGATGATGGCCACAATGTCAATGAAGTTCATTATGTTCTTGAAAAAATCAGTCTTGCTAGGGCAAGCGAAGAAGCGCACCACCAGCTCAAAGGAGAACCAGATGATGCACAGGGTCTCCACAACAAAGAAGGGGTCTGTGAAGATGTTAGATTTGTAGACCTGGGTGGTGTTGTCAGTGCGGTGCACTGTGTACTCCTTGTCCTCCTTCAGCTCAGGTAATGTCTCTAGGCAGAAAATCACGATGGAGATGAGGATCACCATGACAGAGACTATGGCAATAACCCTTGCCGGCCCAGAGCTCTCTGGGTACTCAAAGAGGAGCCACACTTGGCGCTGGTACTCCCCCTCCGGCAAGGGTCTCTCCTCATCTTTAATGAATCCTTCATCTTCCCGGAACTTCTCCATGGCCTCCTCGCCCAGCTCATAAAATTTGATCTCCTCAGAGAACATGTCCAGGGGGACATTGACGGGCCGGCGCAGCCTCCCCCCGGACTGGTAGTAGTAGAGGATGGCGTCGAAGCTGGGCCGGTTGCGGTCGAAGAAGTACTCGTTGCGGAGCGGGTCGAAGTAGCGCATGCGCTTCTTGGGGTTGCCCAGCAGCGTGTTGGGGAACTGGGCTAAAGTCTTGAGCTGCGTCTCGAAGCGCAGCCCCGCAATGTTTATCACCACGCGCTCACAGCACTCGTGGTCGTCGTGGGCAGCGGGCTGGTAGCTATCCTGGGGGTGGCCAGGTAGCGCAGAAGTCTCGTCCATGTTCTCTCCAGCCATCACGGTCATGGTGGCACAGAGGAAAGGGGACCAAGGGGCAGGGGAGAAGTGAGGGAAAGGGAGGAGGAGGAGGAGGAGGAGGAGGAGGAGGATGGAGGAGCACAGGGAGACCCAGGGCGATGCAAGGGTGAGGGGGTCAAGGTGGGATGGGGAGCTTGAGGAAGGGGTGGAAGTGGAGCCTAAGGGATGGAAATACCCAAAAGGGGAAATGAGAGGCGGGATGAAGGGAGAGGCATCAGGGACGATGGAAGGGTGAAGAAAGAGGGAAGAAGTACCTTTAGGGGGGGCAGAGGGCAGGTAAGGTGAGGGGTCCTGTCCCCCACACCGGGAGGCTGAAGGTCTATGGAGTGCACCCCCAGGCTGGGGTTCCCCTCCCCAGCCGTCTCCTTTAGCCTTTAACTCGATCCGTCCACTTTTCTCGCTGGCTCGACCATCGCCGCAGCTGCTGCCACGAAGCTACCACACACACACATGCACACGCACACACACATACACATAAAATAAATAAATAAATATAGAAATAAATATATAAATCACGGGCTGGCTGGGAGGCGAGTCCTTGCAATGCCAACTCAGCAAATTTTCCATCACCTGCCTCTTCCTTCCCGACTCCCACCACCACCACCACTGCCCTGGTCCTCTCCTCTTTTGCGCTTGGGAGGGAGGGAGGGAGGGATGGAAACACTCTGCTTCGAAGGCTTAAACCTCACTTGCAGAATGGGGGCTGCCAGGGAGGAGAGAAACAGAATAAACCAGCCCCCGAGCCCCTCCACATACACACACACACTCAGGCGCAATGGATTGGCTTTCACACCAGCAGGAACATCCCGTTCTGCTCACTACGGCAGCACATGCGGAGTTCTACGCGTTCCTACACATCCCCGGACATGCACCAAGGCCTCCAAGGCAGGAAGGTGCCCCGAACTCATCGGGAGGGTTTCCCAGGAAACTTCAGCGGGGTCAGCTCCTGCAAGGAGCCTCCCGAGCACCGCGCTCCCCGCTCTGGAGACTTAGCTGAGCACTGACAACTTCATCACACCAACCGGGTGGCGGTGGAGGAGGAGGAGGGGGGGGGGGAGATTAGGAGGGGGAGAGCAAAGCATCTCCTCTCCTGCTTTGCAGCAGCTAAAGGTAACTGAGAGAGAGACAAGGGGAGGGAGGTCGACATCCCAGACCCAAAGCGTCCAAAATTGAGTGGAACATCGGCAGGGAGAAGGGGCTTTTCCTTACCTGCTCCGGGTGAGACGCGCCGCTTAGGAGTAGGAGCCAGTGCCGGAATGCGTCAAGTCGCCTTGCAGCAGCATCCAAAAAAAAAAACAAAACCAAAACAAAACAAAAACCGCAGTGGCAAACTTAACCCTCCTCCTCTTGCGCCCCTCTTTATAACGCAGCGATCGCTTTACAGGGCTGCCTGCGAGACACTGAAATATTCATACACTGTCTTAGGCTGCACCAAGGGCGAGTGGGCTTAATTAGTTTCTGCCGAGAACCGCAGTGGGGGGTGGAGTGGAAAAGAGCGCAAAGTACCTTTTCCAAAAGGCTTGAGTTAGTCAGTAAAATCAAGGAGTCTTAGATAGCTGCTGGCTGTCCAGCTCTCCTCCCTTAGGACAGCTGGAAAAGGAGCCGGGCGCTGGTTAGCGGCGGCGGCGGAGATGTCAGAGCGCCGCAGCCCTGCAGCCGCATCCCCGGAGTCGGGCTTGGCTCGTCCCGGCAGCAGCAGCGGCGGAGGCAGGAGGAGGCAGGAGCTGGACAGGGCTGCTGAACGCATAAGAGCGAGGAGCAAACTCCAGCCATTTCTTGACGCTGCAGCATCAGCAGAAACCTGAGAGCTGTTTGGTGCAGCTCGGGGAGCGGGAGGGCGGGGGAGCCGGGGGCCGGGGCCGGTGGAGGAGGGAGGGATGCGCGCTGCCCCCGGGCCGGCCGCCCCCGCACGCTGCGCGCCGCGCCCCCGACGCAATGCGGGCGGCTCCGGGATGGGGCTGCGGGATGGAGCCGGCAGCATCCCGGCACGGGAGCCACGGGCAGCCCGCTCAGGTGCGCTGAGCAGCCGCTTCCCGACGCGCCCAGGGACGGCGGGACAGCGCTCGGTCCCCCCGCAGCACCTGCGGCGGAACGGGGCCGAGCATCCCGCACGGAGCGGGGCCGGGCATCCCGCACGGAGCACATCCCATACGGAGCGGGTCCGAGCATCCCTCACGGAGCACATCCCGCACGGAGCGGGGCCGCACATCCCGCACGGAGCGGGGCCGAGCATCCCGCACAGAGCGCATCCCGCACGGAGCCTGGCTGCGGCTCCCGATCCCCCTGGCCCCGGCCCGCCTCGGTACCGAAGGAGGCTGCACAACCGGAACCTCCCGACACGCTGGTGGAGGCTAAAAATCCCGAGCGGAGTGGCTGGAATTGGGAGGGTTAATGGTCAGGCAGGGACAGTGCCCTTCCATACTGCTTTATCCCAGCGAAGTTGTTTAATTGATGAATCGCACAACTTCGAGGTGGAAAAGACCCATTATGTCATCAGCTGGCCTCCCCTGCCAGCACAGGATTGTTGCCCACAGTGTCTGATCGCTTACATTATATAAAAGCCTGCTGCTCGCTTTGTCAGGGCGGCAGCGGTGATCAAATCCAACCCGTGCCTGTGTAATTTGAAGCGCTCCAAGAGCTGAGTAACACCAAGTCCGTGTTTAACAGACCTGGTCTCATTAGCTTTCCACTGCATAATACATTAACTTCACTTAAGATCACCACCTTGGAAGTCCAAAAATACTTAACCACCTGACCTTCCTGGTGGTTTCTGTTTCTTCTTCCTTTCCCCTTACTTATGCCCATGTTTTGTTGTTTGGGGTGAAGTTTTTTGATGATGTTGTGGGTTATTTTTTTTTTTTTTTTTTACCAGAGCAAAAACCCTTTTAAAAACCTCTACCCCTGGCAGTGCTTCGATCACTAGTTAGCATGCTGCATTCACCATCCCTGTGGAAAGATAAGTGCAAAGAAACAAACAGATCTCCTGTCTAGCCTGGTACAAGGGTGGGGTTTGCTATTGTTTGTTTTGGGTTTTGTTTGCTTGTTTGTTTTTGGGTTTGTTTTTTTTTTTAGTATCACACATGCTGAAAGTTTTGTGAGAAACTTCTGGTGAAGCTGTGGGCAAGAGAAATGTCTGCCTCTGCCACTCCCAGGTGAAACAATCAAAACACGAAACAAAAAGAGAGAGTCTTCTTCCAGTGAAAAATAAAGCCCAATTTTCTGTCTGAAGTTCAGCAGCTCAGCATCAGCCCCCAGCCTTGGACCATGCAAAATCTAAACACCCCCAAAAAACAAAAGGCTATTCCCATCAGCTAAACCAACCAGGCTGTTTTTCAACCCCTTGAGAAGCCCAGTGACAGCCTTCTTGTCAACCTCCTCTTATGGCAGTGAATTGCATGCCTGGCTGCCACAGCTGGCTGCGCAGAGTTCTGGGAGCTCTGCACTCGCTGTGCTCAGAGCTGCTGGGCAGAAGGAGCTCTGGAAGTGAGCACTTTGTCCCCCTGTCCCAGCCCAAAGGATGCTCTGGATTGGGCTGAAAATGCAGATTTGACAAGCAGAGGCCCGAGCTCTCGGTGCTGCTCTGCCCTTGGCTTTCTGCAGGATTGCAGGCAGGGCTACACATTCTGCTTTTGCATCTGGAAAACAGGACTGTAAAGTGCTTCCTTGCCTGTCACAGCTCCTTAGGCTGCTGGCTTCTGAGAGCTGCCTTAGCACAGCAGAACCCAAATCTTCGTCGGGAGCTGTGTGCACAGAAATAAAAGAGGAGTGATAGCAACCTTAGCTTTCCCATTGCACCAAAAGCACAAATTGGGATATTGCTCTCCCCTCTCCTCATTTTGAATAGCTTTGGACTGTGGGATTTCTCTTTGCAGTCTAACTACCATTACTGACAAGCAGTCACACGGGAAGGGAGGGATCTTTCTAAGTGGGCTATTAGCCATAGGTCAATAAAATCTGGTTAAAGTACACAGACTAATGAACAGTGTAACTAGGGCTTGCAAGAAGGTCGTATGTTACACATTATAGGGCTAAGTAGCTTCAATTAAATGTTGAGGAATGGAAGGAGAATCCAGCTTGCTGCCAAATTCAAAGTCAGGCTGCTTCTATTTTCTACCTTCTACATTAGCAGCAGCTGAACTGGTCACCCCCCCAAAGAGCCACACTGAGAAGTTCTCTTCAGGATCAAAATTTTTTCAAAAGGAAACTAAAAATTGTAAAAATTTGAGCAGCTTTTTGTGGTGGGAAGTCTGGTGGTACTGTTGTGATGAGAAAGAGCAGCAAGGGGGATTTTTTTTGTTGTTGTTTTCTTTTTTTTTTTTTTTTTTGAAAGAAAGAATCAAGTTGTTTATTAAAAAATCTTGTGTGATGTGAAGATTTAAAAAAAAATTGTATTGAATGAATGTGACTCTGAAACTGGTTTAAAAAAATAAGCATTGGCTTTATACAGTGAAACAGGCTTTTAATATTGTCAGCAGGGAACCTGGAAAATCCTGATTGAAATCAATGGATGCAGAAGCACAGTGGATTTCTGAGCATGGCATCATTCCCGTAAGTGTCTTGAATGCCCCCCAAAATTTCCTCACCTGAAAGAGACATTTTGTGAGATAAAAACCATTGTGAAATCCAGTGGCAAAGGATGTCCTGGTTGCTTGAATACTATGGATGCTCACAGGCACTGTAATCCCAATGCATCTAAGCCTGGAAACCAACCTGGACACATTATAGTTTCATTCTGAGCTGCCTGAAGCCACCAATGAGTTGTGCAGGTGTCATCACACACCTCATTTAATGGCCTTGGGAGGCAGAGGATAAAGTGAGATGTTCTGGCCCCAGTTTGTGGTGCAGAGGCTCTGTCAATCCTTCTTGGATTCATAAAATGGAAAGAGTCAACAGATGGAACCAAAGGGGAGCTTGTGGTGTTGACAGTTGGGTTTTCTTCCTCGAGGGCAACAAAGAATCCTTTAAAAGCTTTTAATCTTTTTGCTAATATCCTTCAGTATTACTGTGCATTTTTTGTGACCAGGATAATCAAATCTCATGCTTCAAAGAATATTGATAGCTGATGGGAGATGACAATTACTTTGGTTGCCTCTTGTTATATAATTTAATTTTTTCTCCCGTTCCCTTTTAAAGCCTTAAAAATGGGCCCTCTGTGATCAAAAAAGGAGTGGACCTGTTGCTACACAGAAGGAAGACAAGAGCTTGGGAGTTATCCCTGTGAAGAAGGAAACAGAAACTGCCCTCACTCATATGATAGTTGTGCCATTTGGACCAGCCTGGAGAGAAAAGATGTCCCTGCCTTGCCTCTACATCCCACATCAGCAGGCTGGAAAGGTGCAGAGTGTGGCAACACAGAATGGCTGGGCAGAGAAGAACAAAAAATGTTCTTTATTAGGTTGGGGTTGAGCTTTCTTCTGTCCTCCTCAAAAGTAGTTATATAATAGATAACAAAATATATATAAATATATAAACAAAGTGCCAATCCACTGCTGAGCATATTCAGGTTTTTAACACACAGGACTTTTTAGTTAATGGGAGCCACTTTTGGCTTCCCATAATTGGATGATTTAGTACAAGATTTCATAAAAACACCAAAGCAAGAACATATTTATCAAGAGTGCTGCTGGCCACCAAGTGCAGAGAGCAGAGAGTGACCTTTCCCCATGTCAGGAGGAGTGAGCACCACTGTCAGAGAAGGGAACAACTGAGGAGGACAGAGCACCACCAGAGCAAGCACGTTCCTGTAAAATCCCAGAGCCAGAACTTGCAGTGGGTCCTTGCAATACACAATCAAGAAGTGAGTTCTGGGAAGTCTGAGTTTGCTCTTCTGTGAGTTCATGTGCAGGATGATTCCACCCTATTAGAAAAGATTCTGACACATATTTAAACAAAGCCCCACCTCATATGGTATCAAGCTGCCCAGGAGTGAATCAGAAAGTGGGGATGGTTTTGAAACAAGAAGTCTGGTTATGAAGCTCCAAGCTTGAGGCTGAGTGGTGATGAGTGATGGAATTCCATAATCATAGAATGGTTTGGATGGGAAGGGACCTTGAAGATCATCTCGTTCCAGGTGCCCCTGCCATGAGCAGGGACAACTTCCACTACCCCAGGTTGCTCAGAGCCCCATCCAGCCTGGCCTTGGACACTGCCAGGGATGGGGCAGCCACAGCTTCTCTGGGAAACCTGTGCCAGGGCCTCAGCAGCCTCACAGGGAAGAATTTTTTCCCAATATCCAATCTAAACCCGCTCTCTGTCAGTGTGAAGCCATTCCCCCTTGTCCTGTCACTCCAGAGTCTTTCTCCATCTTTTTTGGAGTCTCCCTTCAGGCACTGGAATGCTACAATGAGATGACCCCAAAACCTTCTCCTCTCCAGGCTGAGCAAACACACCAAAATGTGCTTTAGGAACTCAAAACATAGCAGGATACCACCAGTGCTCAATTAATCTACCAGTCTTACCATAGCCATAATCACAGCTACCCTACAAAATCAGAGTTAGGTTTAGCCCTAGCTGGGCTGCAAGGTCACCTGCAACAGAACCCAGGAGCACTCACTGACAGCAGTGTTAGACTGCAGCAATAGGACTTAGAGTTTATAGCAGAGCGTATTTTAAGGCCAGTGGACAGTTGCAAACTCTTGATGAGCTGCCGTGAAATACATCACATTATCACTTGGTCTTGTGATAAAGGACACTGAGAATCCACTCACATCCATCACTGAGCAAGTCATGGGCAGGGAGAAGTCCTCATGGGCTTTATTTAGCCTTCCCAAAAAGTGTTGCCTTATTGTTTAAGCAGGCTGGTGCCTGCCTCAAAAGTTGATTGCAGACCTGAAATTCAGGCTACCAAAAC